ATTTCTGCTGGAGGTCCTGGACATCTTGTTTAGATACATGGCATCTTTGATTCTATCAAATACCAACAGATAAAAAATCAATAAGTGACTGACTCTTCTTATAATGGGCCATGTTTGGATCTTCCAACCTTACAATAATCCAAACACAAACCTCAAAAACAACACAAAAATGGGTCACTGAGCACAAAACCAAGCTTCTGCTATGGCCATTCCAGTTCCCTGAACTGAACCCTATAGAAAATGAGTGCGGTGAACTGAAGAGGAGAAGCACCATCATGGAGCTGGGAATCTGAAGGGTCTGGAGAGATTCTGGATGAAGGAATGGTCTCTGATCTCTTGTCAGGTGCTCTCTAACCTCATCAGGCATTATAGGAGAACATTTAGAGCTGTTAAACTGACAAATGGAGGTTTCAAAAAGTATTGAATAAAAGGGTGCCGTTAATTGTGGCCAATGTGTATTAGAGAAATCTTTTATTTCATAATGATATTTCCCCCCATTTTAAATTCTTATTATCCAATGAAAGATTAGATTTTTGTGAATTTTTAAAATAAAAGATCAAAAGGATTAACAATGCAGATAAATTTTCACAGCCTTCTTTGATCATATTTACCAAGGGTGCCGATATTTTTGGCCATGACTGTATATATAATTATATATTATTAAAAAGTGTGTAATTTCTGTGCCACTAATGTCACGGAATTGCAAAAATAATGAGGTTTCTGGAATAATATCCTCTATGCTATTGGTAGAAAGAAGAGAGTCCCACCCCAGTCGCACACCATTGGTTGCTTTAACTGCAAGTAAATGTATTCTTTGTGTTTCCTGCAGGTGCTGAAATTGGAGCTGATCCCTGATGTTACGATCCCACCAATAATCGCACAGCTGTGTAACCTGAGGGAGATGTGGCTTTACCACACGCCGGCCAAAATCGAGGCTCCTGCTCTGGCCTTCCTCCGTGAGAACCTCAAATCACTACACATAAAGTTCACAGACATTAAGGAGATCCCACTGTGGATCTACAGCCTCAAGAACCTCAGCGAGCTTCATCTGACCGGAAACCTCAGCGCGGATAACAACCGATTCATCATCATCGACGGCCTGCGGGAGCTCAAGAGGCTCAAGGTCCTGCGGCTGAAGAGCAACCTCACTAAACTGCCTCAGGTGAGATGAAGTTACTCACAGAAATTCATCAGCGCATTCAGAAAGGCACCTTGTCATGTCGTTCTTACTGTGTGTATTTTATGATGGTAATACCATGCTAATTAAAGTCAAAATTGACCTTATTTGCTGTTTTAATACATGTTCCTAGTCTTGTTGTGCATGGTTTATCAGTGCACATTATTATTATCTTTGATTGAAATTTTGTAACAAAAATTAATATGAACACATAAATA